ACCATCCTCGTAGCCCTCCACTGGACTCTGTCCAGTAGCTCTTCATCTTTCTTGAAGTGGGGAGCCCAGAACTGGACAGAGTACTCCAGATGGGGCCTCACTAGGGCAGTGTGGAGGGGAAGGAGAACCTCACTTGAGCTACTGGCCACACTCCTCTTGATGCACCCCAGGAGACCACTGGCCTTCTTGGCAGCCGGGGCACACTGCTGGCTCATGGTCAACCTGTTGTCCACCAGCACTGCTAGGTCCCTCTCCACAGAGCTGCTCTCCAGCAGGTCCACCCTAAGCCTGTACTGGTGCTTGGGGTTGTTCATCCCCAGGTGCAGGACCCTGCACTTGCCCTTGTTGAACTTCCTCAGGTTCCTCTGTGCCCAACTCTCCAGCCTGTCCAGGTCACGCTGAATGGCAGCACAGCCTTCCCGTGTATCCACCCCTCCTCCCAGTTTGGTGTCATCAGCAAACTTGCTGAGGGTACACTCTGTCCCTTCATCCAGGTCATTGATGAAGTTGAGCAAGACTGGGCCCAGTACTGACCCCTGGGGGACACCACTCGTTACAGGCCTCCAACTAGAGTCAGCGCCGCTGATGACAGCCCTCTGAGTTCTGCCATTCAGCCAGTTCTCAATCCGCCTCACTGACCACTCATCCAGCCCACACTTCCTGAGCTTCCCTAGGAGGATGTGATGGGAGACAGTGTCGAAAGTCTTGCTGAAGTCGAGGTAGACAACATCCACTGCTCTCCCCTCATCTACCCAGCCAGTCATGCCATCGTAGAAAGCTATCAGTGTTGAGTGTTGCTGAGTGTCCATGCTGTGTCCCTTATCACTTGAGCCTCCCAATTTTATTTGTAACTCTTCCAACGAACTTTCCTGGATATGTGCTAGTGGTATTAAATACGACTGAGGGGAGATTTCTGGGAAGCCACCTTCATTATCTCAACTTGCATTTTATTTGGAAAATTCAGCAGCTGCAAACCTGCTTTCCTGTCTGGAGGTCAGATATGTTGTGTGTAAAGGAGTACATTTTATGGGTTGGTAGAGACTTTTAGCTTCCCTTAGCTGTTCTGGACAAATGCTACCTAGGCTGAGCTGGTTTAGTGAGTGTCTGGCATTAGCCCATCCCGGTTCATGCCTGTCTCTGGTCTCTAAATCTTGTGTGAATGTTTGAAATGCTGAGGAGGAGAAGTAGGAGGAGGAGGTTCTTACAAATCGGGCTATACAGCAACTGTTGTAACGCGTTAACACTGATTACGGTGCAGCAAACTTTAGGGCCCTCGGGCTGATAATCAAATAGCAGGTTTGTGAAGTGGTTTTGTGCTAGGCTAGTTCAGATACTTGTATACTTCTAAGTGCTATTTTAAAAAGCTTTCACAAGAGGGCAGAGTACAGTTTGCTCTGGCAATTGTAGTTGTCTTGAGATTTACGTCTATCTAGAAATGAGCCAGCTCAGATTTCTTGGCTGTATTACGCTGCCCACCTGTATGGCATACTGTCCTGGGCGCTGTGGCTTGTCAGGCGCTGCTCCCCACCGGAGGGTCCCCCAGAAAGCCACCACCTCTCTCTAATGTCCCTTCCCAGCGGTGGGATGCTGGAGCGTGGAGGAGGAGAGGTCTGTGAACCTGCCTGCTGCATCAGCATTGCCCTTGTTTCCTTGTTGGTCGTAGCTAAAAAAATCATGTGGCTGTTGTTAGCATGAAAATCCTGTAGTTGTTAGGGCAAGATAATGCTGTGGCACAGATAAGCAAGCTCTTTGTAGTTTGCAAACATAATAAAGGAGATACTGCTTGAAAGCAGCAAGGTTTCCTTGCAACGTGTTGAGGTGTGGTAGAATATGACCAAGAAAGTTACTTGAAAAGGAAATTCTGTGTATCTGTAGCTTTATGGGTCTTTAAGTGTGTTGGCCAATTCATTTATTAGTTATTGTGATAATACCCAGGACCCTCATCCTTGGAGAAACAATTTAAGACTCCACAGAGCAAACTAGCTCCCTCCACCTCCTTTCTTTATTGGAGGACAAACTGAGTTAGTTTTTTTTTTCCCCTGGAGCTTCTCAGAAGTGTAGTTTCAATTTTTTGTTCTACCTCAATACTGTGCATTCCAGTAGTTTAGCTAAAAGAGCTGCTTCTGATCTTGCATCGCTCTTTGAAGAGTTTTCCTGGTTATCCTGTACAATTCAGTGCTACCTCAATTAATGCAAGTCAATTGACATTTAGCATATGATAATCTCTGTATTTGAAGACTTTCATGTTCTTTTCTTCTTCCTCCTTCAGATTGACCCCAAAGATTACACTTTTTCTGGACTTAAAGACGAAACTGTGGGTCGACTGCCTGGAAAAGTAGCAGGGCAACAATTCATCATTCAGGACTGTGAGAATTGTCATATCTACATATTTGACCATTCTGCTGCAATCACTATTGATGACTGCGTAAACTGCCAAATCTTTTTGGGACCAATAAAAGGCAGCGTGTTTTTCCGTGACTGCAAAGATTGTAAATGCATAGTGGCCTGCCAACAGTTTCGCGCGCGGGACTGCAGAAAGCTGGAGGTGTTCTTGTGCTGTGCCACCCAGCCCATTATTGAGTCCTCCACAGGTATGAAATTTGGATGTTTCCAGTACTATTATCCTGAGCTTGCTTTACAATTTAAAGATGCTGGACTGAGTATCTTCAATAACACATGGAGCAACATCCATGACTTTACCCCTGTGTCAGGAGAAAATAACTGGGGCCTTTTGCCTGAGAATGCTGTAGTCCAAGATTATGTTCCTCTGCCCAGCTCCGAGGAGCTGAAAGCTGTCAGAATTTCTACAGATGCAACGAAAAGCATAATACCAGTAACTCGAGGGCGGAGACAGAAAAGCAGCGATGAATCGTGTTTGGCTGTGTTTTTTGCTGGTGACTACACAACTGCAAATGCCAGGAAGTTAATTGATGAGGTAAGCGACCTTTGTCTTGGTTCAGCTTTTTGCATTTCTAACCGAACTCTCCTCTGGGGAGCCTCTGGTGCTCCCTGCAGGGAGAACGCAGAAACTCTGCCTGTCTGCTACCCATACTGATCAACTACACTGTTGAAAACCTTAAAGCAAGGTAAGAGATCAGAGCTCATCTGATGAGACAGTTGTTTTACAGCTGACATCCTGTGACTGGCACATCTGTCCTCCGATAGTTCGAGTGTATTTTCCACCACAACACATCAAAGCTGCGTTCTGAAGAAAATGCATAGTTGATTTGACGAACTTGGCCACATGTAGAGTAAGTGATTGGCAATACTTATGAAAGGGATATAGCCAATTAACTTGTTAGCTTATTGCACTGAAAGTCACAGCTAACAAAATAGTCTGTCCTGACAGTTTTTCCAGTGCTAACAGAGACTTTAAAAAGCTAACATGTTAAATTGTATCCTCCCTGCCACCCAGTACTGGAATTTTTTTCTGGAAGAGGCAGTGAGTGTTTGTCACAGCTGGTCAGCTGTCTTTGATTACTTAACTAGCTGGTGATGTCTTTTTTTTTTTTTTTTCTTTTCCTGGAGTGCCAGGGATGAGAGAGCCGAGCCAGTAACCATGAGCTACAGCTTTTGAGAGGGGTATCTGCGAAAGCTGCTGATCCCAGTGTTGTACAGTCAACAAAAAAATTGATGGAGCTCCTTCTTTTGGGTTTTTAACTGCAAAGAAAGCAAGCTGTAGGGTGTTCTTATGCCCCACATGCTGCCCAGTTGAATTTTTATGGAATGGAGTTACTAACAGCTACTTGAGTGAAGGGAGGTAATGATACTTACGGGTTGTTTTTTTGCTGCAGAAGGAATAGCTACAGTAGAGAGGTTAATAGGTGTGCTCTCCTCTGTTAGCAGTTCTTTAGAAATTAGAATTAAGAAGATGCTAAAAGACTACCTAGTGAGATTATGTAGAAACCTTACTGCTCTGTATTAACAGATGATTTGGAACTACAAGTACGGTTGCTCCTTCTCCACGTGCTTTTAGTTTCATATTAGATTTGAAGTAAAAAGCTGCATGTGTTTGTAAGTTTGTAGCTTTTTTTCCAAAATGGAGAACTTCAGCAGTGGATAGATGAGAGTTTGAGCTAATGCTTGACTGAACCATTGCAGACTAATGAGAACTGCTTGACTCCAGATGCTGAATGCTTTTAATTCCCATTAGTTTCAGCTTGTGAGGGATTGCGGGGGAAAAAAACCCACAACCTTGGGCCATAATATAAAACAAAAATGTTCACATTTACTCCTCTAGGTGCACTAGGGCAGAGGAGAAAATCTGGATGAATGGAATGAAAATAAATAGAAATGTAGGAAAAGCAAATGGTCTTTGAAAAGAGAAAAAAGGGTCCCTTTGCTGTGTAACGTAATATGTATGGGGAAAATGGGTCTATTCCAATGTAATCTGGGTACTCGAGCTGAACTCGCTGCCTTAGAAGCATTTTTAACATGAATTCTTTCTCTGTTAACAGATGACTGGGAAAGGCTTTCAGCTGGTACAGACTAAAGAAGTCTCAATGAAGGCAGAGGATGCTCACAGAGTTTTCCAGCAGTGTGCATCAGAATTCATTCCACTGCTTGAAAGAGGTGAGTTTGTGGTGTTTTCTTTCTCCTCTTGGTCTAGAAACCTAGCTGTCACTAGGGAGTTCTGGAGAATCAAGAGGAATGAAGAAGAAATTTGTGTTTCAAGGGCGTGGTGTAAAGCCAGTTGAGATGAGTTTTGGAAGCATCAGTCAGGCCCTAAACCAGCCAAAAGTCCTGAAAGCATCGGAAACGAGCTGTTTTACATGTATTTTGTGCTTCTGCCCCCCCTCTAGTGGTCCAACCCCATAGCTCAGGAGCAGTGGCACATGAAGATCTGTCTGGGGTGGTCAAAGGCTCCACGTGCTTTTAGGCTATTTCTAACTTACTACCATAGCTGCTTATTGCAGAGTGCTGAAGGGCAAAGGGGTCCAGGCAGCTGGACATTCTTCAAGGAGGAAGTCTTCAAGGCACAGGAGCAGGCTGTCCCCATGTGCCACAAGACGAACCGGTGGGGAAGACGACCGGCCTGGCTGAACACGGAGCTCTTTCTGGGACTGAGGAAAAAGAGGTCTGACACCTATGGAAGAAAGGGCAGGTGACTCA